CAATCCGGCCTGTGCAAGTGCGACTCGAGTTCCCTCGAGCACGGTTCTGATGCTTCGTTCGGCCACTGCGTTCGATTTGTGAATGTATTCTTGACTGAGGACATGTCTCCAGTCCATCTCTTCAGCTGCAGCAATTAGCTCAGGGGCATTGTCGCTATAAAACGTGCCAACCTCGTCTGACGAGGAAGTGAAATGCTGAAACGCCTTCACAGTGGCTTCCGTGTTTCTTTTAGCAAAAGGGTATGCATATTTGAAACCGGTGGCAACGTCACTTATGACAAGAGCAGAGTACTCATCGTCTATGCCTAGTTCCTGTTCGTCTGCAGTGATTATGAAATCGGCTGTGATGTGCTCAGCAAACTTTCGAGCATCAACTTGTCTGGATCCCCCCCGCGAGCGAGAGGGAGACTTGGTCATCTTGGCGCATTTGCACACTTCGCAGAATGGATTCTTTGGCTGGTGTGTCATCAGGTGCTTCCGTGATGCTGCTTCCTGCCTTAGGGCACTTTCTGCAAGTGATCTAGGGCTCTTCTTATCGGGATTGCCAACAACATCTTCCCCTGCCAAATCTTTACTCTCTATCGGCTCAGCATGTTCATTTGGTTTGACTTCGATGGGGTCATCCGCCAGAAGCTCAGCGACAACTCTAGCATGCACCTCAGGGTCCTCTAGAGGGGCAATGCTAGGCGTGTACTCCTCTCCCGCTGCATCTTCAGCTTGCTCGGAGGAGGAGTATGACGATTCACTCGATGCGCTGCTTCTGCCGACCTGACCTTCCGGTCGGCTTGGCGGCGTGCCTTTGGCGGGACATGCCATGGCTGAGTCGCCATCCCACACGTCGTAGTACGGGACATAATCTCGAACTTTGAGATATATTCTCGTCCCATCAGGCTTGACAAAGAATGGCTTGTCCTTCGCGTACCATATGAAGTCATAACCCTGATTCATGCATTTCAAACCTACAGAGAGAACAGATGGTGTTTGTGGCAACAAGTATGGATCCGTGTTCCCAAGGTCACCTGCGGCCATGTTGGCCTGCTTTGACGAATCACTTGGTCCATTGGCAGTCATCAACATCACGGGGTCATTTGAATTATAGATTGCATATTCGGGGCAATTCGCACGGGTAAAAAGGTCTGTTCCACTCCCAGTGTCGATAATCCATGAACAGTTCGGAGAGAATCTCTTGCTCGCCAGCGCGGGCTTTGCGCCCATGTCTCTCGGGGCGCAGTGGTTGCATCCGATATCGCTGTCACATTCGTATTTGCATCTAGTCGGATGGCCTTCCAATTCACGTCTCACAATGAAGGCGAGCATGGTTGCTCCGAGCCTAGCATCATCTATGCTGATTTCATCATGGAAAAACTGATGGTCGATTGGGTAGACCTTTGAATACACGCGCGGTTTGTCCGCGATCTTAAACTGCTCACCATGTGCTGGTATCCGATTCATTTCAACCTTCGAGCTGAAACGCACGCTCGGGAGGGCAGGCACATGCTTCCTGTCCGACATGAGGTTCCCCTCAGCGATAGGGGCGTTCATCATGGAAGACAGCAAACATCCCAACACACAAACAGCAGCAGGAGAAGGCTTTCCGGAAGACTTTCCCTTGTGACCCTTCTTCTTTTCTCCCTTCGAATCACGGGAAGTGGATCGAGAGGTCGACTTGGAACGATCCCTGCTCGATTTGCGATGCTTCCGATCCTTTCCCTGCTTCTTATGCTTGTCTGCGGATGGCTCCCTTGACCCTGGAACGGCCGGCTTCGGGTCGATGTGAGCAAACGGGCAGTTTTCACCACGGTCACACCTCTTTCTTCCCCTTTGGGCTATTCGTTCGGCCTTTACCCTTACCCTTCTTAGGCTTAGCGTCCCTTGATGGGGTCCTACCCCTGGCATCGCCCGATGGCTGTTCATGCTTGTACGTGCAATTGTCCCGCCGACACGACCCATACTTGACAAATGCAATGCAAAACCCCTTAGGCACACGTTGGCTCTCAGCGGCGGGTGCGGCTGGCCTACCCCCGTTCTGCCTAGCAACCCGTTCTCGGTTGCGCTCGAGTCTGGCTCGAGACAGGTATTGCCTCACAGATTCAATCAAGTAGGTGTATGAGTGATCGGCGGACTCTTCCGAGGCGCTCAAATAGACATTCAAATGGTGTTGCATTTGCTTACTTTTCTTCAGCTGGTTGTAGAACAGAGCCTCAAGCATGGAGTCATCCGGTGTCTTGGCATTCATCCCTGCAAGGACACCCTCCCAGCTACGCATGAAGGAAGTGAGGTTATCGTTCACGAGCCTCACGTTGAGGAGATCCTCCATGGCATAGGTGGCTCCGTGCTTGATGTTCGTGCTCAGGTGCTCGTGCACCATGAGAAGCACTTGTCTCCCACGAACTGGATTCCTCTTCTGCGCCTCTACCTCCTTGAAGGTGTCGACTTGTCTCGCCAGGTCACCCTGAATGATGTTGGTGAGGGCGGACAGCAACTTGGCGTCCAAGGTGAGGAAAGTACCTGGTTCTTTGAGCTCCTCGATCGTAACGGCGGGCTCCCACACTCTGCTGATCCATGTAAAAGCGTCATCGGGGCGATCGGACGCAGCGCACACGGCTTCCCGAACCTTGATGCGCCAATTCCTGTAACTCTCAGGAAGTGGGAAGGAGGGAATGATAATCCTCTCCGCCTCCTTGACCTTGGGCTTGTCATGGTCTGCGTCCACGGCGCTCGCCTGCTTACCCAAGATCTTGTTGAGCTTCTTGCGGATCACTCGTGCTTTCTCCGATGATGATGATGAGGATGATGATGTTGAGGAGCTGGACGATGAAGAGCTCGGAGAGTCGGAAGGAGACCCACTCTTTCGCTTCTTGTGGCTCTTCTTCTTCTTCTTCTTGTCCTTCTTGCTCTTCTTCTTTTTTGTCCTTCTTCTTCTTCTTGTCCTTCTTGCTCTTCTTCCCATCGTCATTCCCGTCATCATCGTCGTCATCATGATCATCATCATCGTCGGGATCGCCGGCAGGTGGTTCCCCACCGCCTCCGCTCTGGCCTTTACCTGCGCCTGATGGATTTCCACCACCATCGTTTGGGTCCTGTGCCGGAGAAGTCGGTTCGTATTCCTCGGCATCCCCGTCAAGATCATCGGCGGCACCTGGCCCATCACGGCGGAGTTCGGTAGAAGCTGACCTGATACGTACCTTAGAACTAAGATCCAGGCCGGGAGGAGGAAACGTCTGTACAGGAGAGGCCTTTGGCCTCAGACCGAAAATCGGAACATTAGAAGAACTACTCTGCTCACTGCGAGATTTCAGTTCATGACGTAGTGCCTCAATGTCCCTCGACTGCTTCATGATAATTTCCCTCATTTCAGCAGCGCTCCTGTCCGCGTCCTCCTTCTGCTTGTTGCGGGTGACTTCCCAAATCAATTTGAGCTGTTCATACTTCTTCTCAGCTTCTAAGCGTTGAGCAACCCACTGCTGCCTTGCCTCGTTGAACTCTCTTTCCTTCGCCATTGCCTCTTGTTGGCATACATTGATGTGGTTCACCGCGTCCTGATAGAGTCGGCCTTTTTCCTCAACATGGCCGGCTTGGAGCTGATTGATGATGGCGTCGTGGCGTGCCGAAGCATAGGCAGCCACTTCCTCAGTACTCGGACCTGTGTTGACCACATTCACCGTCTGGCTATGTTGATATATGTTCGGGGCGCTCACATGATGTTGATGAAGGTGAGTCTCATTCTTAGTCATGTGCGCGTGCATCTCTTGCCTAGGTTGATGTCCGGCGAGAGGTTCCCCTCCGCTTCCCATTGAATCCTCCGGAAGGACAACCGAAGTGATGGGCACAAGCGCATCGCCTTGGTCGGACTCAGGAAAACTGCTTCGGGAGCGCTGTGACGGATTGCATGGCGGTTTCCCTTCCGGATGCCCACCCTTGATCAATTCGTTGGCCACTGCTTCGTTCATCCTTGCTATGGCAGGGTGGCATCCGTCGCCGCTTGACGCCATTGCGGCGCGGGTGAGAGCTGACTGTACAATGTACCAGCGATACGGCTGATAACCTGTTGAAAGGTGGAATCTACCTAAATGTCAGCACGGGCGGCAGTCAATTTTTCTTGAGCCAGTATCATGTCGGAATGCCACTACCTATCAACAAAACTCATTAGGGCCTCAAAATTGCGGTACTGTCCTGTCCTGCTGGTTCCGATTCAACCAACCCGAAAAGGTGGAAAAGGGTACCCTTACAACACACAACGCCAATTCAGGCGACCGGACAATCCCAAGAGTTGGACCTGTCACCCGCCCACACAAAGCCAATTCTGGCGACCGGAAAAACCAAAAATTTGGACCCGTCACCCGCCCACACAAAGCCATTTCTGGCGACCGGATCCCAAAATTTGGACCAGTCACCTGCCCACACAAAGCATTCTGGCGACCGGAAAAACCCAACATTTGGACCTGTCACCCGCCGACAGGACAATCCCAAAATTTGGACCTGTCACCCGCCCACACAAAGCCAGTTCCCACACAAAGCCTATTCTGGCGACCGGACACTCCCAAAATTTTGACCTGTCACCTGCCGACCGGACAGTCCCAAAATTTGGACCTGTCACCTGCCGACCGGACAATTCCAAAATTTGGACCTGTCACCCGCCCACACAAAGCCAGACAATCCCAAAATTTGGACCCGTCACCCGCCGACACAAAGCCGATTCTGGCGACCGGATCCAATCTCCTCCGGCAGTACAACGGCATGACCGACGTCCGCAGTCCAGAGAGAAAGTGAAGTGAAAGCGTTTCTGGACGGCCTCCAGGTCAACCAGGACCGCCCGCAGAGGGGCTACAACAGCTTCGTGCCTCTGGAGCCCATGAACCAGACCTGGCTAACATGAAGGTCTTTGGGGGAAGCCCTACCCGTACATCTAGTAGCATCGACGCGCTAACCAAAAAAGTGGACGCTGAGCCGCTGAAGAACCGTCTTGCGAAATGTATCGCCGAGACACCGGGGCTCCGGCCTCACGCAAAAATCTTGGCGATTTGCTCCTTGCCGCTCGCCGCTCGCCCCAATACCCACTACCCACTTGAGGTTTCTCAAAATGGGTGGTCTGTTTGCGGGTACCTGTTCTGGGGCCGTTCCAAAGGGCAAAGGTCCCCCCAAAAAAAAACACACACCCAAAGAGTGGTGTCTTAAAATGGCTGGTGTTGGTTTTTCAACAAAGCTCACTAGCGGGCGAAATTTCTATTTGGCTTTCCCACCTGGGTTGCTCTTCCCCTCAGCAACAGGTCGAACGCTCGGTGAGTTTAACCTCCATTCGCTGAAGTCCCCAGGAAAAACTAAACATGTATCCAGCAGTCATAGATTCCCTTGGCAAAGTAAACAAATGGAAGGTCTTGTGGGTTTCAGTAAGCCTTTGGCCTTTGCGTTGATTTTTTGGGGGCCTCAGCGAAGTCCCTGCGACCTAACTCTTCGAGAAGAAGAACCAAGGCCGTGTGTACTGACTGAGGTTCGTCTCTAAATGGGGATAATTGCCCCAAATCGTGGCAGCCGCAGCACTTTGGAGATGCATTGCAGGCGCAGCATTCTGGGCATCTGGGCGTATTTTCTGTGGCAGGGCAGCATTTAGCAGCTGTCTAAAGGGACAGGATGTTGTCGCGCACGCGGCGTAGCACTTTGGAGATGCCATTGCCCAAAACGGTTGGCTTCCCGATGGTGTCCCGACCTGCCCCCCCCCCCCCCCCACAAAAAAACGACCCCTCGAACGAAAGCTTCAACTTGTTCTTTGCCAGTATTTCCGAAAACTAACCCCAAAGTTGATTGACCCTCAAGATCCCAGGCGTCTCGGCACAGTAGGTAACCCTTGCCCATTGTCCTTTTGGTCTTCAAAAGAATGGGAGCCCCTACAGGCGACCTTTCGGCCCTGGTACAGGGAATGAAACATGTACACCAGTGCCGTCTAACCAAACTCACATCGAAAGGACTCCTATAGCCCCTGGGTGACCTACAAAACCACGGTAAATCGCAGGGAAGCCCTGGCGTGGTTGTGCTAAAGGGAACCGGATGGAACAGGCAGCATATTTCAAGTGACCCGTTTCGGCAGCAAAGGAAATTGAACACCAAATGTTTCTCCTGATTTCACGGAATCAGTGGCTGGAACAGCTGATCTTAGACCCCCTGCAACATGTGAGCTCCTTGGTTCGGAAACCGAACCAGGTTTCAAAAGGTGAACACGTTGTTGCGACCGTCTCGCTTCCGTGGATTGGTGTTTGACCATGTCTGCACTTCTTGTTTACCACTATGCTCTTTTTAAGCGACAAAAGTCCAAGAGAAACCGAGACACCTTTTGGTTGACCCCTCTGCAAAAAGTGATTGACTTTGTGTGGCTCCAATCCGGAAACATCCAACCTGTTTCTATCAAAAAGCTAAAGTCCAAAGATCCGTCACCAACTAGCCACATATGTATTTTATTTCATGGTCATAAAACAATCATATGTATACAGATCGTTTTGCTCCTAGTATGTCTGTTCAGTGACAGACGTTGGTCGGTTCCAGAAGTAAAAGAAGAAATGTCTTCCCACTCTTGTTGTTTTCTTCTCGGTTTCCGTTTGAGGCAGCCTGAAAAAGGGGACCAGTCCCCCCAAAGAAACCACCCACGTTTCTTCTTCCACTCGCGACTCACGATCTTCTTTTGCCCCAGGTGCGTTTCTTTCGGTTCTTTGGGCATTTCCTGTTCTTGTCTTTACAACCCTTGATCCATTGGTTGGGCTTGCAGATGCGCAGGCCCAACAACCTAACAACTCCCAAAAAATACGAACAGCGGCGACATCGACATCCAACTCCTGCTGCGCTCCGGTGAGACTCTGCGGGAAGACCACCTCAAGACCAAGGCAAGGCCCCGCGAGTTCTCGGGGGAACTGGACGTGTGGAAGAAAACTGAGGGGTGGCCTCGCTTTTTTTTAGAGGATATTGATACCCATAGTCTAGGGGTTGAATCTAATTCCATTCTTTGCAACCATCGTTCTTTCCAACAACCGGCTTTCCCTGAGTTTCCGAAGGTTTCTAGAAAGATCCGGATCCCTGGAAAGAAATGGGGAAGGTACCCCTAGGTTGCCTCAAAGGGAGACCAAGAAGAAACAAGTACTTGGGAGGGTCCAAATGCCAATTGTCACGCTGATTCCGAGAAACGAGCTCAAGGAACTTCCGCAGGCAGGGTAGTCGGATCCCCTGAGCCCGTCCTTCGCCCTTCGGGCCTGAGGCTTCCTGTCGGACGATATGGTCAATACATGTCACTCGCCGCGATTTGCATTCCCTGAGGTGCTCAGGGAATGACTCGGAATGACCACTATGCACCATGGAGCCAGTGGGTCCCTGTGACATCACTAGGTTCCTTCCTGAGGCCCCTGGATTTACTTCCCTTGTGAACGCCAAGTTGAAAGCAGCATCTTGCATGGATGTCCTTGTGGGACAATAGATGGCGGCCAATGAGGAATAGAACCGGTCTAAACCGGTGAGCCGTATCTATTTTCAACCTGCCTGAGGCCTGAAACGGCAAAGTGGACCTACGCTTGGCCGAAATTGGATTTTGCTGTCTGGAGAATGCGTCCTGCCCCAGGATCATTACACAGCCGCAACCAAAGCCCAGCAAAGCAACATACCCAAACCCAAATTGTGAGAGGGGCCAATGGCCGGAAACCTCCCTTTTTGGGATCCCCAAACGGTTCATTCCCAACACTCCCGGACGTTCCGTGGCTTGTGTGTGTGTTGTTCCTACTCAGAAGTGTGCTTCAAACACTAGCAGCGCAGGATCTTGTTTGGGTCCTCTTGGTTGATGACTCATTCATCTTTGCAGACATATCACCAACCGAAGCAAGGCGCTTCCAACAAACCTTGCGCCCAGCTAGCCACAAAGAAGAAACAACAAGAAAACAGCTCTCCGATGGCCTTCGCTCGAAAAAACTTCGCCACGGTGGTTTGGAGCCCGGTGATTTGGTGGTTTGGGTATGGTTGGGTGTGGTTCCCCTTCTATGCTCTACAAGACAGGACAAGACAAGACAAACAAACAAGCAAACACGCAAAACGAACAAACAAGACAAGACAAGCAGGACAAGCAAACAAACCAACAAACAAGACAAGATCAGACAAACAAGCAAACAGACAAAACAAGACAAGACAAGAAAAGACAAGACAAACACACAAACAAACAAACAAACAAACAAGCAAGACAAAAAAAAAGACAAGACAAGGCAAGGCAGGACCAACAAACAAACAAACAAACAAACAAACAAACAAACAAACAAACAAACAAACAAACACACACACACACACATATAATACACATCAACAAACAAATAGATCAACAAACAAAAAAACAACCACAAAAACAAAACAAACAACAAACAAACAACACAAACAACACAAACAAACAAGGCAAGGCAAGGCAAGGCAAGGCAAGGCAAGGCAAGACAAGACAAGCAAACAAACAGGACAAGACAGGACAGGACAAGACAAGACAAGACAAACACACCCACAGAAACAAACAAAGAAACACACAAAACAAAGCAAACCAAATTCTTCGCCCTTCAAAAAAGGGCCGCTCGTCGCTTCGCTCCCCGGCTTCAACCTTGATGTAGAGGTTCCCGAAGCTCGCCGGATCCTCGGAGGTGTGGTCGATTTGGCCATGGGTCAAAAGCCAAATCGTACCCCCAGTGAACTTTCCAATCCCCACTGAAATAGACTAGAGTGGGTGGTGAATTCACCTACCCCAAATTGGGATTTCATTGGTTTTGAGCCGCAGCCATTTGGCTCTGTCGTTTTCTCGGATTTGGTACCCGCCCAAAATGGCGGCTTGTGGTGTTCCTTCAGTTTTTCCCCTTCAAACCAACAAAAAAGGGGAACCCGCAAAGGGAATGGCACGCCCAAGTTGAAAGGGAGCCCTCGAAAAAAGAGAAAAAGAGAAATCCACCGTAAAAATACGGGTAAAACCAAAAGGCCGCACACAAACTATGAAACGGACGCTTCGCGCTCTGCGCGTGAAACAGGGCTTGATCCCTTGATCCACCGCACGAAACAAGAGGGACACTTTCAAATTTGCTGTCCTAAAGGCTCCAGAAGTCCTGTGGTTTAAAAATGGGGGGGGGGGGGGCAACGTGCAACCATGTCATCCAATAACTTCCGATTCCATCGCGAATACGTCCACTGGAATAGATGAGAACTGTTCAGAAGTGATAGATTCCCTGTACAAACTAACAGGGCAAAAGTTAGAACACATTTTCTTATGCACATGGAAGGCACGGGTTGACCATTTCGGGCGCGCAACCGGGGAATTTCGCCAAAAACGGCTCGCTTCAACCTTTCAGCTCAGCTACGCCTCCGTTCCTCTCTTGGGATGCCCGGCGTCGCGCAAAGGCATGCCTTCCCCCTTGACCTGCGAGAGACTCGGACAGCGCTCCGTTTCTTTCCGACTTCTTTTTGAGCGGAAAAGAAGTGTGCGAGATTCGTTTTTTTGCGTGTTGTATATCATTTGCGTGGAGTGTGCTGTCCCACTGAAGACGGAACAACAACAAACAACACAGGGAAAATCGGTGTGACTTTCCCGGGGGACCCCAACAGCATGCAACTGGTTTCCTTTTGGCTTCCCTTTGCAAACCAAACGGCGGCTTCCCCTTTGGCCATGTCGATGGCGATTGGCGGTGCTTCAGCCGGGGCGCCGCATCAAAAAAAAGCAAAATAGCAGAGGCTGACGGACATGTTGCTCAAATGGTTACCCCCAAACAGCTATACAGCCACGATTTAGGTACCAGATAAAGGTATATGTCCTTATCCAGCTGGGGCTAGTGGTTTGGGGGTAGTGGAACCGTCATGGAATGCTTCATGGTCACGCGTCAGGAGGGTAAGGTTGAATCCCGACTTGCTATGGCTTGGCACTCCAGTTTAAACAAAGAGCTTGGGGAAATGAATGGGCTTCAACTTAAACCAGCCATCTGACCTGCTCAGATTGCCGCCCTCAATAGTTTTACACTGGCCTTGTTAAATATGATGACAAGATCTATGACCACAAAATGTTTCGGTTGAAACCTCAACAGGTGTTTGAAGGTTGGGTGTATGATAAGAAATACCCCTTTAGTTGGGGTGTGTGCTTGCCACAGGCGCCATAGGCCCCCCTTTCGATTGCCATACTTGGTCTTGTGCTGAGAGTAAATAGGGATTGCACAGCCGCTGTGTGAGAGAGTGACATCGCTGCATGCTAAACTTCCGCCTTCGAATGGGCGCGGATAGTTGAACGGGCGTTCAATTTTAAGTTTGGATTACTGCAAAGGACCCTAGTCAAAAAACACCCTGTAACAAAACAAACACATTTCATTTTAGTGTAGGCAAAATTATTTGTTATATTTGTAGTTGTTGGATTGATTATAATTTATCTTATTTCATTCATTTTTGTTTATATGACTGAAAATGACTAAATATATATGTATGTATATATATATATATATGTTTTCGGGGTTGAGTAATTTCTCCGTCTATAAAGATATTCTACCCTTCCTCCAACTAACATGGCACCTGTGGGGAGGTACCTGGAAGATGAATTTCCTTTTCAAGGGACCCCCTCTCAGTTGCCATGTTAGTGGGAGGGTAATAGAAATTGTTCTTGACCTTCCTTACTAAAAGGGACACCCGCCCGCCAGGCCTGCAGGACTTGGAAGGGCTTGGTCACGCTGTCGGTGCCTATCCGAGGATCCAAAACACGAATGCCTTGCCCTAGGATGTTGCAAAGCAAACGTGATACATCTAGTTTGCACACGTCTATACTATATACTATCTGAACAAATTAGTATGTATGTAACTATACAATGTGTTTGGAGTATAGATATAAATGGTGGGGAAGGTTTAACCTCGCAAAGGTACGTAAAAAGCGTGACCATGTACTACAAGGAAGTCAAATCATTGTCAATATCAATTGTGATGATTCCAAGGTTCCCGACTTGTTGGTTTAGAATATTCCCTTCCCCATTCCAATTCTCGAAGGGCGATTGTCGCAATAATATTGGTTTCCCCAAATACACTAGGGTGCGGGATAAATTGAACTAAACATGTCATGATTGGGGTAGTCAAGTCTTCGCCAATTATGCATCCCCGGTTTTATGCAGTGTGGCTGCAAAGGATACGACCTTTGGGTTCTTTTGGGGGAAGCAAAACTCACGGGCGGTTCCATGATTCTGGGAAAACACGTGGTCCGACCCCACGCCAAAGGCCAACTCACGTGGCCCAGTGACTCAAGCAGCGCTTGAACCGGACGCTGCTAATTAAACCCAGCACCCAAAGTCACCTGAGTCACGCAACTTGGTTTAACTGATCCACTGAATCAAGGATATTGCGACTCTCAATATTTCCTAGAGACTTCCAAACAGTGTGAACTTGAAGCAAAATAGAATGCCTCGGTGTTGCCTTGATGGAATCGCTGCGCGAGAGCTGCTCAAATTCACCGTGCGTGCGTCGGTTTGGAAGAGTCGTCATATATTCGAGTATACCCAAACCAATTCGAGAATCAAACCGGCTTCCTGCCGCACCTGTTCACGGTTGGGATTGTCCCCCTGACCTTCATCTACCCAGCTTTTGATGGTGGCTCAAGTCGGCTAGATTCTCGTGGCATGGAAACCAGCTCGTGTCGAGTTTGGGGATTTACAGTCCACTGTTCAGGCAGGGATTATTTACAGTCCACTGTTCAGGCAGGGGTGTGGAGTTGTAGATTAAAGCACTAAAGGGCCAAGCACAACATGCGATCAAACTGACGGTGCCCTCTTTTTGGCATTCCGTCCAATAATGTCCAAACCTCCCAAAAAGAGACTGTGCAGGACCCCCAAAAAGGGTAAGATGATTGACGCGAAAGAGTTTTGGAGGTGGAACCTAGTGCCCAGGTCCGTTTAACGACAAGAAAGACAAAACCACCTAGTGCCCAGGTATCATCACGCATGTGCCCAGGTCCGTTCATGCCATCTCTTGGCTTGCTCACCAAACACGAATCTGGCGAACCCTAGACCTCCCAAAGATTGCAGCTGCTTGCCCCTGGAAGCGTCGTTGGGTGCATTTCTCGTTTCGGGATCGAGACAGCCGCTTCGTTGACTAGGTCCTGTAGGGAGGTTCGAATCAGGGTACCCTCTTTCTCTATTGTAGTAGGGGAACCCTCCCCCCAAAAAAAGGCTAAAGAGGCGCTACAAGGGCGACCTAGTTGATCTGTGTTTCCGGTGGCAAGCCGTCGGCATGAAAAGGTGGCAACCTCGCTGACTTCCTCCCTCTCGCCTATCTCAATGGTGTGACCATCCAGATGCCTGGGGCGAAGCTGCGAGATTGATTCGGAGGGTCGGATCAGTTGCCCTGTCCAACATGGAACCCACAGCTCGGGTCCCTAATGGCACCTGCTCCAAACCAGCACCACTCTACGAAACGTCCGGTTCCATGTTAGTGGGAAGAAAAGTGGGGTCATTCTGAGCTCAGAAACCCTCCAAGTTTATCCCTTTCTGGAAGGCGACGGAAAGGAATTTCTCGCAGTCCCATTCCGACTTTTACATCTCCCAGCCCAGCTTCACAGGTGGATTGGCGTGTCGTGAAACAAAATCACCTGTGATACCCAACATCGCCCATTGCCATGACTACTTCAACACGAAGCGGTTGAAATTAACCAGGGATTGTTTTGGTATCACAGGAAGTGGGAACTGAAAACTTCATTCGGCAAAAAATGGGTCCCTTCCTCTTTCAAACGGCTCCAACACGGCTCCAAATTACCACTTTCTCACAGGGTGTGTCTATTTCTGAGGCTGCCCCTTTGTTGTGGCCTTAATGGGCGACCAAAAGGAAAGCCGCGATTTTTCTGCCAGGGGGCTCCGATTCATCTACTAGGTACTCCAGAGAGGTTAGAACAACCTTTTTCTGTAGTCTATTTTTGGTAGGTTGGAACCCTCCCCCCAAAAAATGGGAGAGAAGGGCACTCACTACTGGGGGACCTGGTCCAAGGAGGCACGGCAATCATGGGGCCTTCACGTCAGTCCCCGCCTGACGGTTTTCCTCCACCCCAGCAGGGCTTCCCGGAGACTCACCTCCCGACAAAATGGAGTCGCGCAAGGGACTGCGCGTCCGGACCTCCCCCCCCAAACAAAAAAAAAGATCAAAAATAAAAGAAACAAGGCTCGCTGGCGCGAGAGGTCGGGAATGACCTATCACCCCGGGTTAAGAATTTGAGCCGTTTCGGGATTCCCCGAAAGAAGCGGAAACACCAATAGGCGATGGATGGCTTTCTTCTTTTCGGGGGTTCCAAGTCTCATTCCCTGAGGACTTCATCAAGGCCAGGGCCCTGGGCATAGGTGTCCTTTTGGGGGAAATAGATGGGTTTCTCTGGTGGATGATTCATCCACCAGGTAAATGCCAGGAATCGCCATCTACGGTATTTTTCTAGCAGAGCAACTCAAAAGGACACGTCTACGGGCCTGGAAATGAATTTGGTCCATGCGTCGAAGCGTCGAACAATCTGAGCTCCTGCAAGGTGCTGACCCCAAAAGGTCCATGCGGAGGGAGGACGTGTGGGCTAGGGCCTTTGGTTCTGAAAGCCTCGGGGGTCGCTTGAAGTGAGAAACCTTTGCCTGGTGGATCGTGTGGGACATGAAAACCTCCAGCAAGACCACCCATTCCCTCGCCTGCATTGGTGACCTGTTGGCAACAATGTATGCCTCTCCCCAAAGGAACCGATCAAAAGGATCGCCTATTTCCAGCCAAACAAGGGTGTCTTTTCTGACCCTTTTTGGGCTGCTTAACTTCCGGGAAGCCCCTTTGGGGGGAAACCCACCAAATGCAAATGCTTGGCCGATGCGACATCTCTCGCGGCCTTGGCATTCATGTGGAGGTCATCCCCTCTCCTCTCGAGCTCTGCGTGCTTCGCAACCTGGCAGAGATTTATCTGGACATATAGATACCCAGAGGCTCCAATTCGATGTATTTAGGGCCCGATTTAACCGCCAGGTTTTGAGACGTCCAAAACCACCTCTTCCCGGGGTGTCTAATGGGCTCGGGTCTTTTATAGAAAGCCGAAGCCGATCGGAGCCTCTGGGTAGAAAAGGTTTTTTTTCAGGCGTCATCCCAGAGGTGGGAAAACCCTTGGGAGGCGGCACGCTATGAAGAGATGTGGTTTTGGTTGGGTTTGGGTTTTGAAGGGACACCGAAAGGACGGCCAACCATTTCGGCGTGTCCCCCCCCAAAAAAGTCCTCCCCCCCCAAGAAAAAAGAAGTCTGAGAAGTGAGATGCTGGATGTTCTGGAATCTGCTAGTTATGAAGCACAAGGGCCCGCCCAACAAATTGTCCAGGGACGCCTGACATGAGAGCAGGTTGAATACATTGCCTCGGCCAAGCCTGGCTCAGTCCGTCAGATCAAACAGCAAGCAGGACGCCGGCATTGCCAACTTCAATGGGATATAGGTACCGTCTTCACGTAAATGTTCGGGGCAAGCCATACCATCCTCGCCACATCCATATCTGCCAGAGGACGGCTCGGGAACAGAAAGAAGCGCAGCCAGGAGCGCAGTGCAGACTCTTGACGGTGTTTGCATCGTCGACTCAGGATTCAACATGCATAGCGGAGCCAGGGTGGTGGCCACTTTTAGAGAGCCAAAAGGATTGAAACTTCCAAGCAGGTTCCGACGGAGCCTAGTCCGACCAGTCCAGCTCCCTCAAACAACAAGCTGAATGCTGCTCCTTGCCTTTCAGTATCCTTCAAATGTAGAAAAGGGTTTACCTCAAAATGGAACCCATCAAATGCGGTGCTTTCCTGGCGGTTTCCCTTGAGTTCAACCCCCGAAACGGGAACCTTCCAAAACCGCACAGACCGCCTTCAGAGTCAAGATCATGGAGCCAGGGATCATGCCAGGCCTGGCGACATGACGTCAACTCTGGATCCACCCCCTGGGGAATCACCCTATGTTTGCCTTCCAGAAAAAGGAAAACTGGTTATTTTGGCTTGTAAAAAACTGGTCCCAGCTTCTTTTCAGTGCCCTCGATTCATTTTTTGGGCGCTATGATCCATTTTGAAAATAAGGGCACTTAGTCCTAAATCAAAGAGGTCACTTAAGCCATTTAAAGGGCACTTAGACCCTCAGGGTTGTCCTCCCCAGCAGATCCCTCCTCAGTCCGGGCAAATCGAGCCGCAGCGACACGTGAATGCAAATGACACTCACACCGGGGCGGGACCGACGCTGGGCAAATCGAGCCGCATCGACACGCGAATGACACTCACGCAGGGGGGACCGACACTAGCGTAAGTGACCTTTTCAAGGGGTAAGTGACCTCGATTCGCACCCCCAATGACACTCAAATGACACGCTTTGACTCTCAAAACGCCATGTTCGGGCTTTCCGGGTCGGCCCCAATCAAATGTGGTAGTTGTCACACTTCGACACGGGTAGCTCTTCGATCTCAACAGAATCCCAACCCCTATCAAGCCAAAAAGGGCACTTAGCAAACGAATCAAAGGGGCACTTAGGCCACCGACACTGCCTTAAGTGCCCTCGATTCAAACACAGGCCAAGTGCCCTCCATTGGAGGGCACTAAAAATATGCTGGTCCTTTTGGTTTAAATAATAATACTAAAACTTGTCATTTTGGTTTATTTGGGACGATTTGGGGAAATGTCCCGAGGGTGTAATCTTAGGGTGTCATAGGACTAGGTCCTCCAGTGGACTGTAGTCTATTTTAGTAGGTTGGAACCCTCCCAACCAAAACAGTTGGTAAAAGGGCACTATTCGGGGACCTAGTCAACTTTGGGTTCATCCAATGGGACTAATGGGACTCGGACCGCTTTTGCTTGGTATCTACTTCCCTTCCACACCCACATCCAGACAAGTAGGGGTCACATCGAATACCTGGCGCAGAATAAGTTGGTGGGTGGCATCCACACAGGGCTTGTTGTTTGTTGGTACCCTTTTTTGGAATGTTGTAGACGGAAGCCAAAAGTAACCCAACAGGAAACAAGCTTGTTTAAAATGGCCAGGGGTTCTGTAATAAAACAGTTTGAGAACCGCCCAGTACTTGACATGTTGCTGCTTGCATCTTCCTCCGAAGTCCTGTCATCGACAAACGAAACAATGGTAAGCTCCATGTCAGTGTGTGTCTAAACTAGCTTTCACACGCAGCCGTGCGCGTTGTCTCAAAAAATAGGAGACCCCGAAAGTGCTTGGCTTTCCTGGTCTCCCTCAGCCAACCAAACGGGGTCCCTTCAAAAGCAGAGCGATTCCCACTAGAAGGCTGTCAAATCCTGAGGGATTCTCAAAGAACAAAACCTATTTTGAGAAATGACCCTACCAAGGTACTGCAAGCGCCATACATTGAATTGTCCAGACGTCATGTCAGCCATCAAGGGACGTACCTTGAGGAAAGTCTTCCTAAACGGCTTTCTCAGGTTGTTTATATGATGTGTTGCTCGGGTGAATGTATCCTTAAACCTATCATTGGGCAAAATGACAAAACCAAGTACGCACATGAAGGAACCCTGGCACACCATTTTGCGAAGTTCGATTGGGTTTGCGTTTGGTGGAGGCTACAACTTTCCACCTTGGCTTGGGAAATTAAATGGGCTTGTGTTAAAAATGGGGGGGAGGCCTGAGATGCCCGGTGTTCCTTGAGCTTCCGTCTGCTGAATGGCACCCAAAGGGGTATGAATTCTAAGGGACCCCTTGCTGGAGATCAAACTTCAGGATTTATGTCCAAATCACTTGTGAGGTTCCCAATTGTTCGATTCCCCGCCAAATGGGTCTATTTTTCTACCCCTTTTGAGACACTTGGGGGGTCCCTAAACTGGGCTGGTTTTCAGATCCGCTGCTAAGAGTGAATCACTTCGAGTGGGTTCGAATGAAACACCCACAAAACCGACCGAAGCCAACTGAAGCCACCTAAAAACAAAAACACACAAAGTAAGCACCGTTCAAAACCTAAGTCGAACCTTTGACGCACCAAGCCACAAAATATGCCATGGACAACCACCTAGGTTCTCCCGTAGAGAGATTAGAATAAGTTGGTACCAACTTGGTTCTGTCAATTTTAGTAGGGAAACCCTCCCAAAAAAAAAGGGTAAAAGGGCACCTAGCTGGGGGACCTAGCCACACAACACACCATCCGATCGCGCCCATTTGGAGTCGGCGAGAGAAGCCTCGCCTCTGGTCGGTCATGCGGGGGAAGGTGAGGCTCTCACCGTCGCGCATGCCCTGCCACGAGCCGATTTTTGGCTCGACACCGAAAACGAGCTCACCGTCTCATCGAGTGGATTGGCCGAAAAAGACAACTAACCTGGGCTGCCCTCAGATCCCCAGCTAAAAGTGTAATTTTTAGTGGGTTAAATGGAAACTACCACCAAACACTAAAAGGCTACACAGCTAAGGGGATGGCAGGGAGCCACCAAGTTTAACCTCACTTCCTGAGTGGACTGGCCGAAAAAGCGCCCCCAAACTTTTGGTGTACCACCAAACCAGTCCCAAAAAGTAAAAGAACGTCCATCCGGAAGCGATTCTAACATGTGGCCATGGGCCAAAAGCCCGGTTAGCCCCCCAGTGAACATCAACCAATCCAACCACTAAAATAGGAAGCCTAAAATGGATGATAATGGATGGCGAATTCACCCAATCCCAACCAAAATGGGATCCCAATTCCCACTAAAATAGGTTCTAACATGGATGGTGCACCTACCCCAAAATGGCACCATTGGCTTTGACCACCACGGCCATGTGGCTTGGCCCCGAAAAAAAGCGGCGAGCACAGAACTTCCCAAACGCGGGTTCCTCCGGCCCGGTGGCGGCTCAGGGCGACCCCCTCCCCTCCACCAAAAATGCACTGGGTTCGGAACCCCTGAAACGGGCACCAGCGAAAAAACAAACAGAGAAACAAACAAAGAAACAAAACACTCACTGCACACACACACAAAAAAAAAGAGAAACACTTGCCTGACCAAAAATCACAAGGGTGGCCTTACCCACTGAATGGGTTCTGCCACATGGGCTCCTCTCGGACACCACATGATTCTCAACTAGGTGCAGGGAAACTATGGGATTTGTTGAAATTGGGCGGCCCATCTGACGCACGGCAAAAAAAGTGTTGCCCCAGCGGACATGGCAAATTGGGTTTGCCCCTGTTGGCCTGATTGGGAATTGTTGGGGACGGCTTGGGGTCTCTTGATGTCCCCAAAACTGGTTCTGGTGAATCTCGATCAAATGTTTGTGGCGACGACTGGCCTTCTCGATCTGAGCATCGATCACGGCCTTCTCTTGCTTGCACTTCTCCTTACCTCCGGAATAGCGGTTGAATTCATTGCAACAGACAATTCTAGGGATACCTTCCCCATTCTTTCCAGGGATCCTTCTTTCTAGAAAACCCTCGGAAACCCAGGTTGAAAATCGGATCCGGCTTTTGGAAAGAACGATGATTGAAAAGAATGGAAATGGAACCAACCGCTAGAACAATGGGACATTCCAGCAAACAAAACACGGTTCCAGCAAACCAAGCACGGTTCACGATGTTGAGTTCGGTCGTTGGCTGCCCCAGTCCTTTGGGCGTTTGGAGAACTTCGCGAGTTGAGCCCCCGCCAAATCTTGATGAAGGAGGCCCCCCCTGGCGGTGGAGGATGCTTGCACCAGCAAGGTGCAGAGTTCACGGGGTTTAGCACTCAAAACTGCCTTCCCAAAAAGTATATCAAGCCCAGGGCTTTTGTTTCTTTTCGATTCCGAGAACTTTTCTGGTGGCCTCATGAATCTCTCCACCGTTCGACAGAGAGCAGGCAAGTGGCTAGGCACTTCCTCCTGCTGCTGCATGAACATGCCGGGGCCCACCTACGCCGAGGAGTCAAAATCCGCGCTCTCATGGCTTTAGCTCGAAGCCCGAAGCCGAAGCGTGCGGAGCGAACAGGATGCATAATAAGCTTTATTTAAAACAGAGGACCCCAAATGGCAGTAAACCCACGACTATTGGGGGTTCTCAAAATGGTGGCCTTTCTTTTTGTTTGGGTGGTTTTCAAGGGACACCAAAAGGAAACAGCCCAATTTGTGTCTTCCTCTAGTCTGTTACACACCTATAGCCTTGCTCTTGCGCCTCGTGAAAATCCTTTAGGGAAAAAAAAAACACCAATTGGCGCCGGCACGTGGGTTTCACGCAAGCGCTTGACCCTTGGTGAAAAATTGCAACTTCACTTGTCCAGACCGATCATCCATCCCCGCAACTCAGAAACCCGGCTCCGGAAATGATCTCCGGGCTTGCCTTTCAATGGAAGCCACACGAGAACCCGCTTGTTGTCCTTGGGGGGGGGGCTTCCTGGCTGCCTTTCCAGAAGCCCCAAGCCGGCCCAAAGCGGCCCGAAGCGGCCCGAAGCGGCCACAAGGCCTGGCGGTTCACCATCCTGAAAAGCGAAGCGGGGACCGGGGACCCCCAAAAAAGCGAGTTTTTTCTCCGCTGCCCTCTAGTAGTTGTTCTTTGGATTTGTTTTTCCTGGATTGGTAGTTTGGATTGGAGGTTTGGATTCCCTCTAGTTGGTGGTTTGGAGTTTGGTGGTTTGGATTGGTTATCTCCATCGTTAAAAACCCCACGTTTCACAGCCTTCCAAAAGTTGCCGATCGGCGCTGCTTTCTCGATAGCGAGTTGAACCATGAAAACTCGCCAGGCCCAAGACGATCCAAAGACAGAGTCCAGGGTAACTCGGTTGCTTTCTGCTCCCCTGCTAAAAGTTCAACTTCTCGTGGTCTAATGGAAAACCCATTAGTTGGCAACAAGTTGAAGTCCTTGGTGGGGGTTTGATTTCCTGCTGCTTTTGAAGCTAAATGGGGAAGATAACCTCCAATGTCCAGGCCAGCAATTCAAGGGAGCCGACTCCATTGGATGAGCTTGCAACTTCGGACATCTACAAAAAGGTCGCGTGGTTCCTCGCCTTCTTGCCTCAATTACAATCGCCAAAGGGAAGGCCGCGCGATCGAAACCAGTGGGGAAAAACAAAAACATGTCTAACGTCTTCCACCCGTTCTTTTCAAGGACACCTATGCCACAGAGAACAATTTGAACACGGACACCTATGCCATAGGTCCTCTGGATTCACCAGCGGGCAAGAAACAAAACATGTCTCACTTCTTCCACCCGTTCTTTTCAAGGACACATATGGATTCACAAAGAGAACACGTCTGGGGCGTTTTCGGCCAAACGGCGTTTTCGGCCCAGCGCCGGCCTCACTTCGTTGGGACCTTGGGTGTTCGACGGATCCAAGGTGCGGGAACTCCCCGCCCACCGAGAAGGTGATATACATATATATATATATGTATGTATGTATTATAGCAATACATATATATATATATATATATTTTAGGCCTGCTCAAATTGTGAAATGAGAAGTTTAAACAGTTTGGGCCGTTGCTAGATGATGAACGCCCCAACAAAAAGTGATATCAGTTTCTGCCAACTGAACAGGTCAGTAAAATGGGGTCATCAGAGTTCCCCGAATCAAACGTTGATCGATATGGGTTGGTCACCCAGCCTGCAAAGGCTGACAAATGCGGAGACTTTCAGTAACATTGCCACTGGCATGAGCATTGAGTGAACTCATCTTGGCTCTTGCAACTGGCACCTCTATCTGAAGCCTGGCTCCAAGAAGCCTAGCATGCTGTTTGAGGTATAGGGCCGGCCTGCATCTCTCAACATGACTCCAGTCATGGAGTAAACGGCCAGCGATGCGTTCTGGGCTCAACGATCTAGGGAGTCGGCAGGCCTGACCCGAAGCTTTTGGAAGGGTAGACGAGCGAGTCGGTTAGGCAGGGCTTCAGCAACCTAAAAGAAAAAACTTCGAGGATGGAACCTTCACTGGGTCCTCCAGATTTGAGAGGCTAGAATAAGATAAGTGAGTCACAATCAAAACCCGGTATTAAAATTGTCTACCCAGAACCATGTAAAGAATTAAGAAGGCGGCCGCAACTATTTCTGGCTGGGACTGCCCCTTACTAAGCTGCATCTACCCGGGTTTTGATTGTGGCTCAAGTGGATTTCTTTTTTCTGCAGTCTATTTTCAGTAGGTTGGAACCCTCCCACCCAAAAAAGTTGGGTGAGAGGTCGGGCATCGCGCAAAGGGGACCTAGTTCATACGTCGGCTTTTGGACCCCCACTTGGGTTTGGTGGTTTTGCCCATCCGCCTTGTGGCTCGCGGGGAAATCAAAACATACATTAAAATCATCCGCTGTGGCTTCTTCGAGACAACCAGTACCAACTTCCCTTCGCGCTTGTTCAAGGCACCCAGAATCACGACTGTTGACCAGTCATGTCGATGTCCCTTCAAAACCGCGCATATTTGTCTAACCATGAACACTACATAAACAAAATATATGCGTGTGTCTTTTCTCGTAGCTACCCTTTTTGGGCTGGTTTTAAAGGGACACCACAAGGAAAAGCCACAAACTTGTTTGGGGGGTGGGTCCCCTCACCCACTTGCCTCTGAAACCCATTTGGCAGGTCCGGAACAGCACTCAGCGCCGGACACCGCCCGCATCCCTGACACTTTGGTGAGTCCGGCCTCGCCTGGGCGAAAAAAGAGGCGGCCCAGGCCGCATCCAAGGGATTGTTCTATTGTTCTGAGGTCTGAGGGTACCTTCCCCATTTTTTCCCCCGAATTATATTTTTTGTCGCGTCTTGCATGTGAAAGGGAACATGGAAATTTCGCGGGCCCTCCCATTTTGAAACGCGTAGTAAAGAGCCTCCCCCAATGCGCAATTACCTGTTGAGCTCCCTCGAAACCGTACTTTAAGCGGTCCAACTCGTTGTAATACCTGCACAAGTAGAAAAGCGTCCCACCCTTCTCTACCACCGGTACGTTCACAAATAATATTCGTGTGTGCTTTTCTGAGGTTACACTTTGTGGGACCCGTTGTTTTTCAAACAGCCACTTTTGGGAGGTCCTCTGAATTTCAAAACACACCCATATGAGTCACAGAAATGAGTGTCTCCTAGGGGTATCCCCGTTTGGTTAAGGAAAATCGAAAGCGTTGATTGATTGTAGGGATACCTTCCCCATTCTTTCCAGGGATCCTTCTTTCTAGAAAACATCGCAGGCAAAATGATCGGTTTCTGAAAAGAACGATGGTTGAAAAGGATGGAAAAGGAATCAACGAATCAACCCCTGGAATCGAGGGAAATGTCAAACGGAACACCTCTTTCGTCTTTTTGGGGGGGGGGAAGTTAAGGGACATTTCAAACGGAACACCTCGGTGTTTTTTTGGGGGGAGACCCGTCTCCCCTAAAGCAAAGCCCACTCGATGGGGAGCGCCTTGGCTCTGAGTGCCGCGCCCGGCAGCCTCGACAGACCACCCGCCGCTGGATCTCCGCCTCGCGAGCGAGCGAAACCGACGCGGCGATCGTGAAGGGCGCCCCGTGTTTTTCGGATCTGCGAAAAAGGGACGGACTTTTAGTGGGTGAAATGATTGTGTGTGTTTTCTCTTTCTACCAAACCAACCAAACCAACTAAAGAACTAAACAGAAACTCAGGAACCCTACCAAGCCAACTAAAAAGCAGGCGAATTTCCCACCAAAGAAAAAACTAGGTTGGTTTGGCTGCATAAATAGAGTTTTGCCACCAAACCAACCAAAGAGCTAAAACAGCTCAGGAATCTCACCAAACCAACTAAAGAGCAGGCAATTTTCCCACCAAAGAAAAAACTAGGTTGGTTTGGCTTGGCTACATAAATGAACATTTCTCCACCAAACCAACGCAAGAGCTAAAAAGCTCTTGAACCGGATGGCTGGGAGTCACCAAGTGAATTGGGTGTTGCTTTTTTTCAGGGCCCCAAAAGGTCCCCTTTGGATGGTTAAAGGGAAGTCAAAAGGAACACAAACAGCTGTCTTTGTTTTGGGGGGTCCCTTAAAGACAGACACACCTACGTCTGGGTTGGTCAAAATGCCGTGTCGGCCGATCCGAGCTTTCACCACCGCAAAGGGACCCTTTTCAGAACGCAAGGTTCAGATTAATTGGCTTTCAACAGCCCAATTGTACCATATTGTCCACGGTCAAAACCTCCTAGTTTAGGAATCCCCAAAGTCCCAAATCTCTATTGCTTCCATAACCCTCCCTCACCCCGTGGCACATCTGTGTGCCTTTTGTTCGGGGCTTTGCACGGAAACCTTTCAAAATCCTACCCAACAACCATTTCCCCATTTCCACAGCGCCGATCGGCAGCTCCGACTGGTCTTTGAAAGCAAACAAAATGGATGCCCCCAGCACCAAAATGAACGGCTCCCGCACCAACAGCCAGGAATGTCAGCTACACATCGCATCCAGAGCACTTAACGAGTTGCACCAAAAAAACAGCTTAGCTAGTTGAATGTCCTAGTTGGAAATTTAAACCAGCTCAGCTCGTTGTTTTTTTTTTCTCAAAAAAGAACGTATGGGCCAGGGCTGCACGAGTCTGAGACCAACGTCCCCTCTCTCCGCGGACAACCGGCGCGGCCCAAGCCCTCGCGCCCGGCGGCTGCCGCCGTTGTAGAGATCCTCTAGGCTCACCTCGGCGGATGGTTCGAGGGGTCTGTACTTTGACCCTTCTTGGGGCCTTTGGAAAAGAAAACGAAGCGAGTTGCCATGAGGACAAAGCCATATGCATGTACTGAGTCTTTGGCTTTGGGGCACCCTGAACCCGACATGTCTATGGCAGGTTCTTCGTGGGAGAACAAAGCAAAGTGACACGGATTCCTTTGAAGTCCAGCGCACAAATGCCTACTTGCAAAGAGTACCCACCAGCCACATCGGCGCACCGGTCTGAAGATCAACCTTGAAACTGGCAAACCAAAAGCCCCAAGACCCAAAGCTCCCGCTTCCTTGTCTAGGTCTTTTAGTAGAGGCTTGAATAAGGGTACCAACTTTTTGCTGTAGTCCATTTTAGGGTACCTTTTTTCTGAAGTCCATTTTAGTGGGGGAACCCTCCCCCAAAAAAGGGGTGAGAAGGGCGCTGCCGGGGAAGCTAGTTGTTTTTGGGTCACTGCCGTGAAAGGTCACTGGTGCTCCAGACCTTCCGGCTTGCCACAAAAAGAGGCAGGAAAATCAGCGTTCCCCCGTGGTTTGTTTTAGCTGGAAGAAAACCAACTCAAGAAAACCATATGTACCCGAGTGGTAAGTCCCCAAAACGCTGCAAAGCCATCTTGTCATGATTCCTGCCCCTTGAAGCCTTCACTTGGCCCAGAACAATGGTCTTTCAACATGGCCCCTTGGTGAATGCAATCCAAGACCCAAACCCGGGGTTTGCCCTAGCTGATCAATTTTGAGCCACAGCAATTTGTTGCAACCATATAGGTGTTCTTTTGGAAAAAATTGATAGGGTTCCCTGGTAAATGGAAATGACTAAGTCCGAGGTCAGAATAAGTTGGTACCCATTTGTTTCTTCTGTAGTCCATGCTGAAAGGTTGGAACCCTCCCAACCAAAAAAGAAAGGGTGAGAAAGGGCACCTACCTGGGGGACCTAGCTGACAAAAAAGGCCCTGGAGTCTCCTTCTGACCCTTTAAAATGGGTCAAGGACCAACCATTATTTTGGGTAACGACCAACCATTTTTCAAGGGTCAGAAGGAGCAGGGATCCTTACATTATACACCTGAACACCTTGTATTTGGTGGTGTCCAACTTTATTTTGGTGGGAAAGGCCATGTTTCAAATGGGCAAAGTGTATCTTTTCAGGAGCCCTGTGGAGATTTTAGGGAGACCAGTCTTTGTTGCACCTCTCCGAGGCCGGCTCGGCTAGGTTGGCACGGGCGTCCTCGCCTGGCTCCAGGCGGGGGCCCTTTGCTTCGTGAACCTCGTTGAGCGAAAGCCCAACTTGCATTTGGTTTGGACCCCTTGCAGCGCGGCCCTATTTCCACTCACTCTATTTGTGCCAGATGGCTGTGGGTAAAAGTGCCATGTGTTTGCACCCCCTGAGCGACGAAAAGGTCGGTAGCCCCTTTGAGGAGCTACCGCTGCAATGCCTTATGGCCTTTTCGGCCACAAAGCTCAAAACACATCCGACCAAGGTGACCCTTGATCATCGTGGCCGGCTGGACCTTCGTCACCAGGTCCGCCTCATTCTCCTTCCCATCAACCTTCACCACCGCGACCTCCTTGGCGAAGACCTTGTCCTGCAGCCAAAGAAACCTCGCCTGGATGTGGCGCGTCTTGCCCACACCCTTCCGAAGGCTCATTGCCCGTGCCGCCGTGCTGTCCACCTTCAGCACGACCCTCGTCACCGCGTAGCCCCAGAAGTTGATGACCCCGCGGATGAACTCCGCGTGTGTTGTCGTCCTGCACATGCCGTAGAACTCACTCTCGGCAGAGCTCAGCGCCACCACCTTCTGCCCCGCGGCTCTGATCAGCACCGTGTGATGCCCAATCTTCACCACCGATCCCGTGGTGCTCCTCCTCGTCCTCAGGTCTCCGGCCCAATCCGAATCGGACCAAGCCAGCACGTCCACCTCCTCAGGCCTCTGCTCCAAAAAGGTCCTCTTCATGTACGGGTACTTCAGCAGGTACCGCACCACCTTCTTGAGCCGAAGCCAATCGCCCATCTTCGGGTTCTTCATGGCCGACGCCAACGTCCTCGAGGCGTGAATCACATCCGGCCTGTCCTGGCTCAGATAAGCCAGCCTCATAGTCATAGACCTGAACTCACCGGTCTGGGCCTCGTCCAACGTCTCGGAGCGCTCTTCAACAATGATGTCCTGGTCCCGAATCTTATCCTCCGGGATGTCGCTGCCCTTGGTCTTGGAGTCGAACCCAAACGACCTCATCAGGATCTCCGCGTGCCGCGCATCCGCTTCCACCTCCAAGCGTTTTCCATCCGTTCCATCTGCCACGTACCTGATGAGCCGATTGAGAAAGAACATCTCCTTGCCGTCCAGCTCCCCGTCTCCGACTGTCGCCTCCCACCGGGCCGTGTACTTGCTGTTGAGGACGCCATCCATCCAGGTCAGCTGGTCGTCCTCCGCCAGCACCAGAAAGTCGTCTCCGTGCACCAGCCCGATGATGCCTCGCTCCTGAAACTTGAACAGCGCAGGGCACAGCTTGCTGAACTCGCCCTTCTCCTTCTCCATGAGGCCTTGGTAGTCCATCTGGAAGATCTTGCTCGCGTCCTGCGTGCCATACATGCTCCGCAGGAGTCTCCCCACCATCGCCTCCTGATCCTCCGGGTGCACCAAGTCTTCCTGCGGGAGCTCCACAAACAGTTCCCGTTCTGCCTTGCCCATGAAGTGCGCCCGGGAGATGTCCCACACCGCCAGCTTCCTCTTCTTCTTGATGCCCTTCTGCGACATGAACAGGCTCAAGATCATCATGACGCATTCTACAGGCGGTGTTGCGGCGAAGGTGTCTCCTGCGCCTAGTTGTTGATCTGGCCTCTTCGCCTTCTTGATCTCCTTCGTCACCAGCCGACTCCTCACCTTCGGATTCTCCTCATCTCCTTTATTCACATCTAACCACTTCAGTTGAAGTGGCTTCCTCTGCTCGCTCTGCTCGCAGAGCTTCCTCGGAACTCTTTCGTAGACCGCCTCCTTTCGGAGCCAGTCCAACTCCTCAGCTCTCGCCTTTCTCACAAGCTCGGCTGGCAGAACCGTCCCCGACGAGTCGTCCATGAACAGCTCGTCCAACTCTTGGTTCTCCTTCTCCTGGTCCACCCAATCGTCCGGCGAGGCTCCCGTCAGCATCTCCTCCACGCTGTTGATCTGACCTCGTTTCCTCATTTCACTCCGCAGGCCTCTCAGGATGGCCTCCACCAGCTCCACCGGGTAGACTTGGGCTGCCTTCGCACGATCCTTGCCGATGAGATGAACATGCCGATGGACTTCTCGCCCTTGTAGCACGTTCTCACACACACCCCTCAGCTCCTCCGCAATGCATTCGCTGTTGGTCAGCCACAGCGTCTCCTTTCTCACATGCAACTCCTCACCATGATCGTCTCTCATCTTCATGCCGAAGCGGCACATCGGGCTCTGCACCAGGAAAGAACCCTCTTTCTTCACCATCTCATCCACCTCCGGTTCCTCCCAACTGGATGCCCCTTTCGGGTGCTCGTGCAGGAAGATTCCTCCCTGCTCAGCCTGCTGCTTGCAGCACCTCATCGCTTTCTGCAGCCTCTCTCTCCCTAGCTTCTCCTCTCCGGCAACCACGTCTGCGCAGGGGGGAGAGCTCGTCAGCAGCAGCGGTTTCTCCTCCTTGATCATGTTGCAGACCTTCTTGAAGTCCGCCTCCTTGTCCATGTCCCATCTCGCCGTTCCACACGGCTTCATCTCATCCAAATCCACCGCCACTCCATCTCGCAAGCCAAATCGCTGCAGTTCCAGCGTCACCCTCTTGGGTGAGAATATCTCCACCACATCCAATGCCCCGATGTCCGCAACCAACTCCGCTGCACCGCGGCTGCCAACCTCCTCAGCCAGCATGTTGATCGCTGCGTCTCTCACTGCGCCTCCAGGGCCCGCATCTTCCTCTTCTACCTCCTTGAGCAGATCCTCGATGTCCACGGATCCGCCCTTCCTCTTTGGCGAGGTCTGCCCGTCTCTACTCGAACCAGGCTCCTCCATTGCCGCGGGCTGTTCCCGCTCATCTCTTGCCTCCTTAGATGCGGCCCTCTTCTGTGACCTTCTCTTCTCTTCTGCCTCATCCTCTAGGCGTTGCTTCCTTCTCTTCTCTTGGTCCGCCTCGTCATCATCCTTGATCCTCTTCAGGATCCTCAACCGGCACTCCTCTGAATGCCCAACCTGCTGGGTGCCTCCAATGATGGAGATGCACCCGCCACACCCAGGCGTCTTTCCGTACTTGTTCAACATCTCCCTTCTCACAGGCCAGGCCTTGCCTCTTCCTGGCGTGCCTGGGGCTGGGGTCTCCTCACCTGCCGCGGCGGGTCGCGATTCTGGAGGCTGCTCTAGGGCCTCCTCCGCCCGAGCTGCCCGCACCTCTCCTCCAGGTCCGGGACTACCCCCAATGATCACGACCGGCGGCGCTGGCAGTTGCTCTTGCTGTGGCTTTGGCTGCGGCTCCAGCTCAACGTACTTCTTCACGTCCCAGGGGACTCCTCTCATCCCTTCTTCTACCTTGCCCCACTTCTCTTCTGCAGGTAAGGCATGATGTCCAGTACCTACGATGACCCCCTGATCGGTCATTGCCAGCACCGACCCAAACCTGTTGTGGGTCCCCAAGTACCGACCCGCCTTCATCTTCTCCAGGTCTCCTCGCCGCCCTTTTCCAGCTGGCTTGACCAGGATCTTCTCGCCGAAGAGCGGCATCGGCTTCACCCACTTCTTTCCGGTCCTTCTCTCGTCCGGGGTCCTTCCGTCCTCGCCGACCTTGAACCGATTGATCTGCTCGGCCGCGTACCTGGGTGCCCAGTACGTCAGCGGATGTCCCTGAGGTACTCCACCCTCAAACTTCTTGGCCAGCGTGAGAAGGATGGCCCTGATTCGCCACTTGACCTCCTTGACGGCCACCTCTGCTTGCCCATTGGCTCTTGCATCCCCTTGCGGCGATTCCTCCGGCACCGCTCTGGAAACTCCTCGTGCCTGCTTTGCCGCCTCCATCTTCATCTTCACCAGCGATCTTTCACCATCCGATTTCAGGACCACCTCCCTGTAGCCCAGTATCTCCAGGAACCTCGTCAACGCCTTCTGCGCCGTCAAGTCCACCACTCCTTTCTGGTTGATCGCTGTGGCCATCACCATGCCCGTGTCCCGATCGACCGCCACCAGGTTCGGCTTGGCTCCCTCCTCCTCACTCATGTAGAAGTAGTCCAAACACACCGTAGGCAGCCGATCTTCTCCATGATCCACTTTCCGATGAACTTGGACCACTCCTCTTGCTTTGATACATTCTTCGCACCAGCTCCTGTAGACCGCGTGCCCGGTCGCCTCATGCTCCTTTCTCTCACGAGCAGACGGATTGGCTGGACTCCAGCCCGGATTCACCGCTCTGGCCTCTACCGACTCCTCAACAGCTTCTCCGGCGCCATCTCCTCCAGGCCTGACCGGAGCCTCATCCTCCAGCGCCCATACCGTCTCGCTCTTCTTCTTCCACCCGTACTCCTTCCGCCATGGCGGGATGTCGTCTTCTTCCTCCTCATCTTTATCCTCCTCCTTTGCCATGGCCTTAGGTCTGGCTCCCAAGCCTGATGCGGCCGGCACTGGATCCTCGGCGCTCGATGCGGCCTCCGGCGACGAAGACTCCAGCATGGCTACCTCCACCATCTCCGTCACTTCCTCCTTCTCTTCCAACTCCAGGTAGAAGTTGTAGATCCCGTTCTCCTCCACCAAGGGGATAAGCCCCTTGTCATGCTCCTTGAGGGCCCACTCCATCAACTCCTCCATCTGCTCATGGACCGGGTGCGTCTTCGGGATGATCGTTCCTCCTCCGGAGGTCATCCAGGTGCTGTACCCTTTCTGATGTAGCCGACCTGCGCTGATCAGCACCTTGTGGACATCCGTGGCCTGCCCGTTCAGCACCCGTTTGACTCCTCCGGCATCGTACCCTGAGACCTTCACCGGCCCATAGTTCTTGATCAACTCCCCCGAGGCCGTCTTGAAGTAGTTCTCCCTCTCCAGCAGCTTCTCGCTGTACCTCTTGGGAAAGGCCGTGACCGAGGCGCCAGTGTCCAGGTTGCACTTGAGCCACTTCTGGCTGATCCCAGCCGCCTCTCTCTTGGCCCTCATGTTCTTGGCCAGTGGAGACACCGCCCATGGTCGTGCCGTAGAGCTCGTGTTGGACAGGGCACACAGCTCCAGGCCATTCGCCTCTCCTTCCGGCTCCTCCTCCAGGGCTGCGGCATCTTTCTTCTTTCCTTTCTGCTTCCCTTTGGACTTCCCTCCAGCAGCTCCTCCACCAGCCGCCCAACAGTCCTTCTTCATGTGGCCGGTCCGTCCGCAGTTGTTGCATTTGCCGTCAAACTTCTTGTTCTGGCTGGGCCCCATCGGACGTGTTGAAGCCCCTTTTCCTCGGCCCATGCTCTGCGGCTTCGACCAGCAGTCCTTCTTCTTGTGCCCCACCTTGCCGCAGTTGTCGCACTTGCCCTCGAAGCGCTGAGCCTTTCCGGCGCCTTTGCCCTTGCCCTTCACCAGCGATGACAGGCTCCCTGACACCGCCTTGACCAATGAATCCACATCCATGGGCACCGCCTCGTTCGCGGCGGCTTTGCTGAAGTTGCCCGACACCGTCATCTTGCTCCCCGTCTTGGCCTCCATGAACGTGACCACCTCCGCCTCCATCTCCTCGAAGGTCTTGAAGCGGCTGTGGTTGAGCAAGAGGTGCGTCTCCAGCTCCCGAGGAACTAATTTTTCTAATGCATTCATGGCGAGGCTGTCGGGCAGGTCCTCGCGCCTCCCGAATTGGTCTTTCTTTTTATTGTAGCGGCCTCTCAAAGACTTCCATCTCTCTAGGGCGTTGCTCAGTGACTCGTACCCCGCTCTGTCGGGGTTCGTGAGGGCTTGGAGCATGATCCTCTTCCGGCCTCCCGTGGCCGGATCATACTTCTTGTGGAGCATCCTCCAGGCCTCCAGCCCATTGCCCCGAGGGGCATTCTCCACCAGGTCGAAGACCACGCCCTCGGTCGTGGCTCTCAGCACGGTGTAGAGCTGCTCGTTGAACTCCAGCACCTCATCCCATTGATCTATGAGATCAGCGCCCGTGCCATAGGCCTTGTCGATCTCCTCGGCCACGATGTTGCCCTCAGAGCCTGCCGCCCACTCCAGAACCTCCCGGCTCTTGCCGCTGAAGACCCCCGTGACATAGTCCTCCAGCTTCGATGCCCAAACCCGGAACTTCTCCTCGGCATCTTCTCCCAGCGTGTAGGGTTTCCCCAACCCTCTCTGGTCCACCAGGCCTCCACGCTCCTTCTTGCCGAGCTTCGCCAGGGCATCCGGCAAGCTCTGCAGTGCCCTGAGCACCTCCGTCTCCATGCCTCCAGAGCCACTCGCCAGGCCCTGCTCAGTGGCCTGCAGCCTCGCCTGCAGCTGTGCGTTCTCCTGCTGGACCTGGACCAGCTGCTGTTGCACCTGCTGCAGAACTCTCATCACCTCCTCCGCCGTAGTCATCGAGGCAGCCGATGATCACCAGGTGCAGGTCCACGCTGTAGGCCAGCACCAGGACCACCGCGGTGATCCACCTCCTCCAGCGACCTCCAGTCGCTCGGCCACCCAGGACCAGGGCCCTGCCACCAGCCTGCCGGCCTTTCTCCTCCGGCTCACCCCGGCCCGGCGCAGGCTGACGGTCTCGCCTCTGGCCGATGACCCGGCGTCTGCCCCTGGACTTGTCCAAGGGCTCCGCTACCATGCAGCGCGGCCCTATTTCCACTCACTCTATTTGTGCCAGATGGCTGTGGGTAAAAGTGCCATGTGTTTGCACCCCTGGATTTTTTTTTAAAAAAAAATCTGGTGATAGAGTCCCTTCCAAACCAGGAAGGAACATAAAGAATATCTTCTGAAACGCAACTGGAAGGCAAGCCCAAGCTCACGCGTTGCCCGGTGGGCATCGCGGAGTGGATTCCCAGAGCTGGCTCCCAGGATCAAACGCCGGTTTTCTGACCTGGGCTGCTGGCTGCTCCCCTTCGATCCCCGGCTAAGAGTGCTTAGTGGAAACTACCGCTAAACCCACGGGAAAAAAAAAACAAAAAAAAAAAAACAAAAAAACGCCAAGCGACTGATTGGACATGGGCGACTGGCCGGAAAGTTCACTCGAATCCAGTTTTCCGCTGGTTCCAACCAGCCGGTTAAAAAAGCCCCTCGCTTCTGGTATTTCCAAGCTGGGCAAAAAGCAACCTTCAAGCAAACATGTTGTGAAGAATCCAAATCCCATGGCTTGGTCACTTGGGGATTTCCTTGGTATTGAAAGTGAACCTACCCTGTCCCACAACAATATCCCTCAGGGAGAGGGCAGAAGATATGGTACCTAGTACAGGGATCCGGATGCATTATACACCTGAACATTGCAACTTGTAAATGGAGGTGTCCAACTTTATTTTGTTGAAAAAATGCCATGGTTCAACTGGTTGCAACATGGAGATCTTTTAAGGAGCCCTGTAACACTGTAGTAATATGTCCCAAACAAAGGAGAATGGATCCAGCGATCACCTCGCCCCCCTCCGCCCCCAAAGGCTGTGCTCACTGCGCTCTCCTGCAAGCTGACATAGCACCCGATGGGAAAAGGACTCCTGTCTTGGGGTCTTTCTTTGATTTGCGGGGGGAAGGGTTCGTCATTTCTTTTCCAGGTGACCCTTGGATATCCAGATCACCAATCCACAAATCACCAATCCAAACGCCAACTAGACGAAGGCTTTACTGTTATTGAGGGTACCCTTCTTGAGGTAGGTTTAAATGGGAACCAACGGGGGTTGGGGGGTTGGGGGGGGTTTGGGGGTTTGGGCGGGGCGAGGGTGACAAGTTGCTGCTCGGAAACGAGCGCCTTTGCTTGTGCCACTTCACCTTTTTGCATTCCCGCCTTTCTCGATCTCCCCCTTGTCGGCCTTCTTCACGGCCTGAGTGGCAAAAAAAAGGCCGGCCAAGGACGGACCTCACTCAAACAACTCGGTTGCGAAATCTGCTCCCCTGCTAAAAGTGACTAACTTTTTGCGGTTTGATGCAAAACCCATTCGCTTGCAACATGCACCAAAGAAAAGGAGATGCGGGTCTGTTCTTGAGCTTGGGCCTGTCAAGATGGATCTCGGTGTTCCTTTTGGTATCCAACTTGCAAAACCACCAAAGGCGTCCTGATTTGATGTTTATTTTTAATTTTAACACCAATGTTGTGTTCAAAACGGAAATATATATATATATGTGTGTGTGTGTGTGTGTCAACTCAGAAGGTTAAAAAAGAAGAACAAAACAGTTGTGCTGAAAGAAGCGTGGATAATGCAAAATGTCCGGCGGTTTCCTCCGCTGGGCCCCATGCGAGTTGTTGGTGAAGTGAGGAAAACACCCAACCGAATCAAGAACATGTGGGCTTGTTGTTGTTTTTAGGGTGCCATCTTTGGGGTTGGTTTGAAATGAAACCAAAAGGACAACCACTGTTGGACCCCCACAAAGAACCCAGAAGGCCTTATTAAGGGCTTATGGTTGGTTTATCGCGTGGCTGCGGGGCGCCTAGCTGGTGGGTGTCAAGAGGGAGTCTGACAAAGTCGACAAATCCAGCATCCCTTTCGGGTTCCTGGGAATATGAGCCATGGTCCAAACTCCTTTTTGCCGGCTCTGTCCTGTTTTTTGGGGGTACCGTTTTGGGTCCACTAACAAAGAGACACCCACATGGCCGATTGGCTCATAGATCCCATAGCCGGAATCATAATACCGGTCATCAAGGATCCTGACCACGAGGTGGATGACCATCCCGGTTGACCCAGGCAACACGAGACTGCCATCCGCTGATCGATTCAACTGCCAGGCGAAAAAAAAATGGTGCTCGCCTCCATTCCTCCGGTGTCGTAGAGGATCTTCTTCTCTGGATCATTCAGGATCTGACGGATGGACATCGGGGCTCCGCATGGATCTGTCTTACCACATTTTTGAGGGGGGGGGGGTAGCGGCCTAACAAAAGACAAACCCCCACAACTTGTTTGGGGAGGACTCCTCTTTTTGGCGGACGCCAAAAGCAAAGCCACCTTTCTGTTTTTCTGTTTGTTTTGGGGGGGTGGGGGGCAAAGGGCTGAAAAAGACAGACCCACATCTCTCTAAGCCGGCAAACAAAAGCCAAAGCTGCTTGGATCGGCATGGAACGCCGCAAACAAAAACCCACGAATTTTGGTCAGAGGCATCTCTGCTTCAAGGACTCCCCTTTGGATTGATCGCGGCCCTGGGCGGTAGAAACACAAACAAGCCAAGAAACAAACACCTGGGAGTGGCCCAAGATAGAACCAAAGGCGAAACTCAGTTGCTTGAAGGAGCTGAAAATGAGAAGTGAAACAATGTGAAACATTGGGGACCAAAAATGGGTCAAAAGGGGAAACCAACAGGTCAGATCTGGTCGATCGACTTCTGGACTAAAACCTTCAGGCCGCTGACGTCAGCGGTCAAAGGCCGGCAACCAGTGGCCGCAAAGGAAATTGGTCGACCCATGAAAGAAACATCAGGTGCCTTGATACCCTCCCAAAAACAAACATAGAATGCACAGAAAATCCTGGAAGTCCGCTTTTCCCTTTTTGGGGGAAATGGTATGGTTCCCTGTGGTGGTGGTGGGAGGCAAGTTCAGCCCCAAAAAAGTCTTAAGCTGTTTCCGACTCATTTGGAGCCCCAAAGGGTCTGATGCCGGTCCTCGTAGGCGTCCCGAACTTCCGCGAATTTCCTGCAGGCATCAGAACTCGTGGCCCCCTGGCCCCGGTCAGGAGGTTGAAGGGAGGAAGGGGCTATTCCTTATTCACCCCTTAATCAGGCCTTGCTACGGGCCTCTCCTTATAGGCTTGTCCAGGGAAAGCCCCCCCCACTAGGCCCCCCCAAAACTCCATGAAGAACACAGTGGTGCAGGATTTCGTGCCACTAGGCCCCCGAAAATTCCATGAAGAACACAGTGGCGCGAACGGATTTCGTCCATCCGCAGCAGGGATGACCTCTTTTGCGCTATGGAGGGTCTGACAGCCACGAAGGGGTCTTAGGGCCTTAGGCTGGAAATCGCGGGGACATTTTGCTTCGTTGCCATGCCTGGAAA